CATAATATTGTTTTAAAAATTGATTGTCCTGCCTGTTCCCAAAACTCGTATGTGATAAATTCGAAAAATCGGGTTTTGAGCCCAAAATCAAGGCTTTCGCTTCCAACTTTTTTCTGAATAAGCCAATTCACACAAATTCTTCTGTGAAATATTAGCCATAATCATAATATTGTTTTAAAAATTGATTGTCCTGCCTGTTCCCAAAACTCGTATGTGATAAATTCGAAAAATCGGGTTTTGAGCCCTAAAATCAAGATTTTCGCTTCCAACTTTTTTCTGAATAAGCCAATTCACCCAAATTCTTTTGTAAAATAATAGCCATAATCATAATAATGTTTTAAAATTTTCTTGTCCTGCCTTTTCCCAAAAATCGTATGTGATAAATTCGAAAAATCGGGTTTTGAGCCCTAAAATCAAGATTTTCGCTTCCAACTTTTTTCTGAATGAGCCAATTCACCCAAATTCTTTTGTAAAATAATAGCCATAATCATAATAATGTTTTAAAATTTTCTTGTCCTGCCTTTTCCCAAAAATCGTATGTGATAAATTCGAAAAATCGGGTTTTGAGCCCTAAAATCAAGATATTGGCTTCCAACTTTTTTCTGAATGAGCCAATTCACCCAAATTCTTTTGTAAAATCATAGCCATAGTCATAATATTGTTTTAAAAATTGCTTGTCCTGCCTTTTCACAAAACTCGTATGTGATAAGTTCGAAAAATCGGGTTTTGAGCCCAAAATCAAGATTTTCGCTTCCAACTTTTTTCTGAATAAGCCAATTCACCCAAATTCTTTTGTAAAATAATAGCCATAATCATAATAATGTTTTAAAATTTTCTTGTCCTGCCTTTTCCCAAAAATCGGATGTGATAAATTCAAAAAATCGGGCTTTGAGCCCTAAAATCAAGATTTTCGCTTCCAACTTTTTTCTGAATAAGCCAATTCACCCAAATTCTTTTGTAAATAATAGCCATAATCATAATAATGTTTAAAATTTTCTTGGCCTGCCTTTTCCCAAAACTCGTATGAGATAAATTCGAAAAATCGGGTTTTGAGCCCTAAAATCGAGATATTGGCTTCCAACTTTTTTCTGAATGAGCCAATTCACCCAAATTCTTTTGTAAAATAATAGCCATAGTCATAATAATGTTTTAAAAATTGATTGTCCTGCCTTTTCCCAAAACTCGTATGAGATAAATTCGAAAAATCGGGTTTTGAGCCCTAAAATCGAGATATTGGCTTCCAACTTTTTTCTGAATGAGCCAATTCACCCAAATTCTTTTGTAAAATAATAGCCATAGTCATAATAATGTTTTAAAATTTGCTTGTCCTGCCTTTTCCCAAAACTCGTATGAGATAAATTCGAAAAATCGGGTTTTGAGCCCTAAAATCAAGATATTGGCTTCCAACTTTTTTCTGAATGAGCCAATTCACCCAAATTCTTTTGTAAAATAATAGCCATAGTCATAATAATGTTTTAAAATTTGCTTGTCCTGCCTTTTCCCAAAAATCGTATGTGATAAATTCGAAAAATCGGGCTTTGAGCCCTAAAATCAAGATATTGGCTTCCAACTTTTTTCTGAATGAGCCAATTCACACAAATTCTTTTGTAAAATAATAGCCATAGTTATAATAATGTTTTAAAAATTGATTGTCCTGCCTTTTCCCAAAAATCGTATGTGATAAATTCGAAAAATCGGGTTTTGAGCCCTAAAATCAAGATATTGGCTTCCAACTTTTTTCTGAATGAGCCAATTCACACAAATTCTTTTGTAAAATAATAGCCATAGTCATAATAATGTTTTCAAATTTGCTTGTCCTGCCTTTTCCCAAAAATCGTATGTGATAAATTCGAAAAATCGGGTTTTGAGCCCTAAAATCAAGATTTTCGCTTCCAACTTTTTTCTGAATAAGCCAATTCACCCAAATTCTTTTGTAAAATAATAGCCATAGTCATAATAATGTTTTAAAATTTGCTTGTCCTGCCTTTTCCCAAAAATCGTATGTGATAAATTCGAAAAATCGGGTTTTGAGCCCTAAAATCAAGATTTTCGCTTCCAACTTTTTTCTGAATGAGCCAATTCACCCAAATTCTTTTGTAAAATA